GCGTCGTAGTGGCCGTCTAACGAAACACGAAAGAACTGAGAGTCTGGGTGTCCGTAGCGGTCGTAATATTCCTTACAATCTCCCAGGCCTTTGAATGACGCAGGGTAACAATGTTTCATATCTAAAGATACGTATTCTTCCTCGTCGTATTCCATGTTCCATAAACCGCCGTGTCCATGTTCTACGCATGCTTTGGCTATGTCTTTGAACTCTTTGAACCTTCTTTTCGCGGCTAAGAAGTCCAAACTACGACTACTTAATACTTCATCTGAGAAATCTTCGCCTAAAGTCTCGCAGGCACTTTGAATGCGTTGATGTTCTATTTCTGGGCGATACAGAGTACCATCTTGGGTCATAAACTGACTTCCTTCCGGATCCATCAACCAAATGGAGTTCTCATGGATCAACTCCACCAATGGGGAGGCTTGGTAGTCTCTTTCTTTTTAGGAAATCTTAGTTCTYTCCAAGCATGCGCATTGTGTTGATAAATGACAATAGGAGCACCTCTACCTCCGTACTTATGCGTCCCAGGATAAATGTACCCATCCGTGATATCCTTTACGTGTATGCGCCTCTCTAAGGCAATTTCTAATTTCTTGATGTTGTCTATGGTAGCTCCAGCCCTGCGAGTAGCATCTTCCCATTTCGTGATGGCTTCTCTTCTCTTTGGGGTAAGCTTACCGCCCCGGGAGGAATCTTCAAAGAATTCCCTGACTAACTTTCCTACGCAGTTGCCAGGATGTCGCATTGGTTTGAGTTTCCTAACGTCTGGCTCCTTAATCTCATACGCACCGTAGATTACTACTGTAACAGGGTAAGCAACTTCGTATAACAACATGTCGATGCCTACCAGCGCTCCGGGCCTGGTATTCTTGTTTAGGACGAACAARCTTTGCTTACCAGACGCCCGGATAGGGTTACGGCCTCTTTCTATTATCCATTCACCGTCGTAATACTTTATGAACGTTAACTGTAAACGGTAATTACCTTCAGGCATCAAGTTTATTATCTTTTCGGCTCTTTCTTCGTCCATGATTTCTTCTGTGTCTCCTTCTGTGAATGTCGTGAAGGCAAAGTCGGCGTCCAAACGATCCAATACCTGGGTTTGCAGCTTGCGTACAGTTTTGTTTTGAATGCTTTTGATGGCGTCCATCTATATCTAGGAAATATCTTAACCTTCGTTTGCGAGACAAATATTTTAACTCAGTAATGCGAACAGACACATAGGGACCTTACGGGTAATACCCACGGCGGACGCACGTACGTGAGCGCGGGTAATACCCATGTAATTCCGGGGGGTGGCCGCGGGTCCCCCTTACTGCTGCTAAAGATGGATCAAGAAGTGTTCTTCAAGAATTCAGGTGTGTTTTTTAGCAAACAATCGTATGTATATATTTTTTTGACAAGCATTTTTCTCGATGAATCGACAAATTAAAGACTTTCTCTCAAATCTTTTTATATGTCTATAGATAAGCTTAATTTATTTTAATGCTGGTGGAAATATAACACGGATAGCATATTACGCCAACAAATATTCGTCCTCATTTAGGTTTGTAAATCTTTAACAATAGACCAGTTTCGAATTCCAAATTACCACTGTGTGCCTTGATTACAGACTCATTTGCACAGGGTTAGCCTCGGTAATTTGGAATTCGAAAAGGTCTATTGTTGTTTTTATTCCTATTTTTTAAATCCTATTTGTATGTTTTTCGTTCAAGACTGAAAAATGCAGCTTTGTTCGCCTCCTATCGCGGGGGAACCCATCGGCAAAACAAAGAAATCTTTCATTCAATAATTTTAGTATCTTTCTACAGATAATTTATTTATTTATTGAATGAAATATAAATTTACACCATTTTGCATTGCCTTTTGCATTATTTTCTATTTTGTCTCAGTTGTTTTTGTCAAGTTTAACTGAATGTAAACTTCGTCTCGTTCTGTAAAAGACGTAAGCAAGTTTATTTTCTGCTCACCTTAACCAGAGTTTTCAAGTCTGTTTCTTGGTCTTGATTTCTCTCCAGATTTTCGATTTCAATGAAAGACAACCGAGGTATTGGATTATCTGTAGTTATCTTTCGTTTTTTTAAGTAAAAGAGATTCAAAGCCTAAAACTGTCGGCCTTGGAAAACTTTGTCGAA